ACAATCTATTCAAAAACGAGATTCTAAGGTCGTACTTTTAATGATATAAACACTAGCGCCACTTGAGTAAATTGTGCATGTAAACACTCTTCCCAAAAAGTACAAAAAAAAAAACAAAAAAAAAAACTGGGCCATTCGGCAAAGGAGCCTAAGAACAACAAAGAGCGGCGCCAGACCCTGAAAAGTGATTAAAATGATTGTTGTACAACAATGTCCGCGTCCTTGTAAGGGTTTTGCAGAGGGTGCCTTTCCTCCCACCCCGCCCTCGTTGCCAAAAAAATAGCGAAGCCATTACAGTGCTGTCTCTTCTTTGTAATTCTTTATTCCCTGTTCATTATACAGTGTTGGCTGGGAAATTCGAATTTGCATGTATTTTAATTTGGAGGGGTTTAAAAAAAAGTGGGTTTTATGATCTGGAAGGTTTTTCCAAATTACTGGGGTTTTTTTGGCTTTTAAGTTTCCTTATTTTTAATTTATCCAATAATTATTGGATTTAATTATAATTAAAGTAGAGTGATTAATACAAAGAAATACCTTTAACAAAAAAAGCAATTTTAGTCATCATGTTTGTAAAAAAAAATTTATTATAATTCATACATCATATCCTATCATATTATTGCTAATTTATCTAATACATAATGTAGTGATTAAACCAAGAAATACTATACCACAATAAAAAACCCAAATTTAATAATCATATTTATAAAAAAAAGCTATTACAATTTTCAAAATAAGATGATATGAAATAGAAATTTAGAAAGCTTAAAAAAGTAAGCATTTCGAGCGTTCACTGTATTTACATATTGTATCTATATAAATGGCTGAATTTATCTAGAAAAGCCTAATTGGAAAAGTGTTTTGGGACCGGCACTCGAAGCTTTTAGCCGAAAATGTCCCGACAAAGGCACAAGGGAAGCGATTTCAAGCGATTTTAAGCGATGCTGTCTGATTTTCTGGCTTTTCGGGGTTTTCTGGGTTAGGGGGAGGCGATGGTAGGTAGGGTGGCTCTGGGTGGTCTTGTGGGTGGTTAGGTGGCTAGGAGGCTTGGTGGCTAGGCTGCTTGCTCTGCTGACTTAAGCAAAGCGGGACTTTGACAATGGAATTCTGCGGGTGCGAGAGTTCGAGACCGGCGAACAATTTGTCCTCGAGCCTGTCAGCGGCACTCCTTATTATTATGCCACGGCGCTCCTTCTGCAATTGCTTTGCTTGTTGCTCTCTCATTGTTTAATTGTTAACCATTTTGTGTGTGTTAGTGTGTGTTTTTGTGTGTTAGTGTGCGGGAGTGTGTGTGCTGTGCGGCTTTGTTGCATTGTTTGATTGTTTCACGCCCCAGCTTTGTCTCTCGTTCTGTGCGTGTGTGCGAAATAACATTTGTCTAATGAAAAGCGCTCTTGTCGCTTGTCTGTTGTCCTCTGTTTTCTGTCTTCTTTGCTCTGTCTCCCTTGCACCCGACTCTTTGTCTCGCTCGCTCCCGGTCGGCGACGGCCTTTGCTATTTTTAGCTCATTATGTTGCCATGGCCCAAAGGACATTACATCCTGAGACACGCCTCGGGATTCCATGTATTCCATCTTCACATGGTTTCCTTATTATGACTCTTGTTCTACAACTTAATCCCCCGAAATGATTTAATTTCTTATTATTGCCCCTGCCAGGCAAATTGGAAATAATTCTAAACATTCTTCATGCTACAAATTTAAATTGAAATTTAATTATTATTCTTACCACCAAATAATCAAATTTATTTTCTAAATCCATTATGCATTTATTTTAAAATGTATTCTTGCTCTACAATATAATACCCCAAAATGAATTAATTTCTTATTATTGCCCCTGCCAGGCAACTTAAAAATCATTCTAAGCATTCTAAAGACTATAAATTTAAATTGAAATTTAAGTATTATTTGTACCACCAAATAATCGAATTTATTTGATAAATCCAGTGAGAGTTTGTGATTAATGTATGTATTTTAAAATGTATTCTTGTTCTAAAAATTATTTAAATTCCTAATATTCTGCCTGCCAGCAACTTTAACATTATTCCAAAGAAGCTTTAATACAATAATTTAAAATGTCAATTAAATTAATAGTCTTTCCAAAATACTTACCAACATGCATTTATTTCATTTTAAAATTTATGGCATGCGCATCAAAATGTGTGTGCTTAATAAATCCCTGAAAATTCCACTAACATTATTATTAAAGTCCACCTACTGCAATATTTGTTTATTAAAACAATTGATAATAATTCCAATCCTCTTAAGTGGACCATCTCCTGCCGTTCTTCCCATGTTTTTGCACAAATTACAAAGGCAGTTTGCACACAAAATATGGTTTTGATTGCTCTGCACACACAGAAATAAAATAATTGCCGGAAAATATATAAATATTCAACAGCTGGGAAATGACAAAATATCGCTCTGTTGTTTGCCCATCAAATTTGCATACCGAAGTTGCCAAATAGAGATAAATAAAGAGGCTGACAGCAACCTCAACAAATCCACTTTGGGATTGCGATTGAAACGCTGTGGCCTGTCTGCCAACGGTTAGTGATTTGTATTTGTATTTTGTGATTTGAACTGCCGTCCCCGAAAGCAAAGTCAAGACAGTTGGCCAACAAGGTGGCCAATTGGGTTGTAAATGCTAACTGCAAACGGCAAATGGCAAACTACAAACATGCAACTAGCAGGTGACAGCCAGTGTAACATGAACATGAACACGACACGGCAGCAACTACACCCGAAATCCGGTTAATTGAAAAACAGAATGGGCCACAGAGACATTCGCCCGGATTCAGATGCAGATATAGATATGGATAGAGATTCAGAGGCAGAGGCAGAGACAGAGATACATTCTCGCATCCTTGCCGCATTAGCTGCAGTTGAGCGAGTGTCAAGGTGAGGCCAGGTGAAGCCAGCCAGGCAGAAAACAGGCAGCAAAAACAGGGCGAAACGGGAAAATAAACTTGGCAGCACACGAATTTAGTACCCAATCATACTGAAAAAAATACATTTTGGAAAGAAAATCATTTAATTAGCGATATTTTAAGGTTTTTCAGGGTAATTCTGATGTAATAAATTTATTTTATTTATTTATTATGATACAAAAAATATATTGAATTGATTTTAGGTCTACAAAAAATAAAGATAAAACTTAAATTAAATTTAACAATTGTTTAAAATTTAAAACCAAAATAATTGTTCTCTTTCATAAATAAATGAGTGCTATTTAATAAAAACTAATTAAAGGGAGCTAAGAAAAGTCATATATCATAGAGAAAAATTTGTTGAAATATTTTCGCCAGCTAGAACATCCTTGAAGAATTGTAAATTAAGGAATCTCACCTTAAATGGACATGGGAGACTATTTTTTTCCGTTCGTCCTCACTCTTCCCTTGGCTGCTGGCATCTGGCCAAATCACGTAATCACAACTTGTTTATGGCGCATGTGCCAACTATTCCCGACTTTCACCTTCACACCCGCACACCCCATCAAATCCGGACCCAGATACCCAGACCCATACCCAGACCCTCCGAAAAAGAGACCTACATCCTCCGTGCAGTTGCAACCGTAGCCATGAAAATTAATTTCAATTAGCGGAAATTGTTTTTACACCTGTTTGCCTTCCAGCACATCGCAGTAGATAGTAGTCCTCCAAATGGTTTGGCCAATTTGCGGCCTGTCATCGCATTGACGGGCTAATACCGCACTTTATATCCCCTCACTCCCCACCCGTTGTGCAAATTCATAAATCAGAATTGCAAATTGCCAAGTGCAACAGCAGCGGGAGCTTAACAAGAGAGAAAAAACTATAGCATACCGCCGGGCGACACTTGAGTGCAGCAAATGCCACGCCCATTCCCTTGGGAGCTCGTAACTGGCTAAGCAAATTCTTTTTTGCACTGCTTTCATGATTTCCTGGGTGTGGGAGTGCCACTCGGAATGTGGAACAGAATTGTAGACAAGTTTGTCTGAACCGAGCAATTTAAAACGATTTAATTGCCGCATTGTCCCGTAGAGAGGGTGGTTTCCATAAACCATAATTCTGTTCTAGTATTTCCTAATATTCTGGACTTTTAAAATTTCTATTAACTGCTACTCCATTTTATTAAATTTTTGCAGATATTTGTTTTCATAAAATTTGTGTTGGCTATAAATTATATATAAATTATCTTTGCATAAGAAATTAACTAATTAGGTTAATGGTCTTAAATAATTTATTATTATTATACCCATAGGTATGATTATGTTGTGTTTATTAATACCTATCGAAATGTGGAATAACATTTTCAAATCGTAACATTCTTTAAAAAGTTATGAGCACATATAAAATTCATGCAGTGCAAGCATGATTTAAATTTAAATTTATTTTAGAAATAAAATGGTTTTGCTATCCTCTAAAGAGTAGATTATAGTCAACTACACATTTACCACTCGATTATCTATTTTGGTCTTTTGGTCCACATTTAGCGGACGTCATCAGCGAGTGTTTTTGCTGGGTTCTCAATTAAATTCCAATTGGCGTTGCAATAAAAATTGTCATTTGGCAGGGGCGTGGTCGAAATGTCAGTGTGGATTTTGTATTCGGGTCTCTGATTCCGGTCTCTTGTCGCGATTTTAGTTGTGGGCCTTTTAATTGATGCAGTGGCAAACGGCATACATTTGCTCAGCGAATGCAGTCGAAATTAATTTGGCATCCATGGGCGAGTCAAAAAATATTAAACCGCAAATATTTGAATAGTAATCGAAACGGTCATGGCAATCGTTTACAGTCAATTTGGTTGTGTTTATTGTATAATGGCAGGAAAATATGAAATTTATGTCTTGAATAAATAATAAAATTATTATAAAATAGAAACATAAATAACTATGTAACCAACTCTAGAATTCCCTTGAATATAAAGTTTTTAGCTACACTTTATGTTTGTACAAAAAACTTTTAATTTATTTTCTTGCTAAGCCGCAACTAAACAAAAGCCAAAACTTTTCTAATTTTTGCAGATGAGCGCGCTACTGTGCCACAATTTTGGTTTACACCTGTCGAAGCTGCCACTCCCAAGAGGAACTTTTTCTACCACAAAAACAATAACAACAACAAGAACTTTTTGCCCCACAACAAGAGGAAAAACCAAAATAAAAGAGCAACAACAACAGTGATATGGAACTGTGCATAGCAACAAAGTCAAAAAAGCAACAAGAACAAGCCGCTCAGAGTTCAATGCAGCAAAGCAAATGCAACAGCAGCAGCAACAGCAACTACTATCAAAAGAAATGCCACCAAAATCAAACAAATACTCAAGTACAGAGCACTCAGCAAAGCAATTGCAGCAGCCACAGAGATCGAGACCACCTGACAAAGCAGCAACAGAACCAACGAACAAATAGTGCAACAGCAACCTCATCAAATTTCAACAGGAGCAACATCATCAGCAGCAGCAGCAGCAGCAACATCAAGAGTAAAAACATTAGGAGGCCCAGTAGAAGCACACAATTAAACACGCTCTATTCGCTGCTGGTGCTTTTGATAGTCGGCCTTGCCACAGTTGCCGTTACGGTTACAGCCTCCCCCACCACCCACAGGCCACCCCCGCAACCCCCTTTTCCCGCGAGACCAGACGCGATGCTCTTTTGGCCTACTACAAGCGGGCCCACCTGCAACCGAGTGGCTCCTCCCCGGGGCACGAGCACGAGTATCACCTGCATCAGGACGCCAACGGCCTTGACTTTGACGAGCTAACGCCCACCGTCAGCAGCGTGTCCGTCCTCAGTCGGGCGGAGCGCCTTCGTTTGCGTAAGCGCAGTGCCACGCCCACAACGGCAGCAGCAGCAGCAACATCGCCAGTTGCCGCCGTTGCACCTGCAGCGGCAACATCAACGACAGCGGCGGCCAAGGAGGCAGCCAACAGCAAGAAGGCGGAGGAGGAGAAGTGCGAGCCCAGAGTACTGGAAACGCAGCCAGATGAGCCGGTAAGTGGGCCATATAGATTGCAGATTTTCATTATCTTTTTTATAGCTTTTAGCAATTTTACTGAGAATTTTATTTCTTATCTTTAGTTCTATAAATTATGTATTTATTAATTATTATTTTAGGGGTATTATGTTAACATGTATTACTATACAGTGACGTAGCCAGGATTTAGTTAAGCGGATGGGTTGAGGGGGTAAAAATTTTGTGTAGCATACTTTTAAAACCCCTATTTTCCATTTCACCCGAGAGGGGTGAAATATATTCTATCTAACAAAATAATGAATATTCTTTATCACTAACTATAAAACCATCTGAAGTCAAAACCTTCGGTATAAATATGAGTTATTTGGAAATAATTTTGTACGGATTAATAAAAATTGCAAGAGCAGTAAATCTGATTAACTTTAATATTTTTAATTGGTGTTAGTTTAGTAAAAACAGTTTCATAGAACCGCTTAAATCTAACCAATTCTAAATTTAAATCAGAAAAAAAACAACTTTCTTAAAAAAAATAAAAAAAATCCTTCAGTACTTTAAAGTTAAATTCATAATTAATTCATTAAATTCATAATGATAAATATATTTAAAATTTAAATAATTCCATTTATAATGTTTCAATCAACACAAGCGTCATTTAATTAGCTTTATTATCAAGTTTTTCGTCACTCCAGAAGCAAATTAAGAATTTCTCAACTTTAAACAGAACTTCTCCAATTGAGTCCGCCGAATGGTGCTTCTAGTTTGAAAAGTGTACACATTTTGTTTAACTTTACAACTGGCACTACAGAACGCCACCTAATAATTTGCCACCCAAGAGGATGAGGGGTGAAAGTTTCAGCTTTTTGCACTTAGTCACGAGAACTACTTAGATCAAAAGCAATTCCAAGGAGCAGCAGCAGCAGGAATAAGCAAGCGCTACAATTTAGTGTCTCAACTTTTGAAGCAATCAAAGAAATTGCGAGGATTGCAAGGAATGCAAGGGGAGAGGGGGTTGGTATTCACCTTCCAACCTTCCGGTTGCCTTCATAACTTTTGACGGACATTCTGTGAGAACGAGTGCAGCTTGCACACCGCATCGATCCAAGGTAGAGACAATTAACGACAATTTACGAAATTGCCAACGCGGCACTGGCGAATAATCAATAAAATTGCTGAGATAGCAACCCATATAATGTGTTCAGTTCTGGGTGCTTCTCCATTTTCGGTATCTTCTGCTTTTTCTGCTCTTTCCTGCTGACACAAATCTCTGCGCAAATCTGTGAGCTCCTTTCCCGTTTTTCACCTCCCCACCTTGTTGATTGTCGTAAAAATATTACGCATACGACATGGCTGACGCAAGTAGATGCGAAGGAAGGAAAGTTTTTGCTTTTTTCTTTAAGGGGCGGTGTATTACACAGAAACCGCGGGATTTTGGAAAGAGTTGCGGCCTGTCTTGACAGCAGTTCATGTGTGTTACCTCCCCCCTCGTCTAGATCCTTTACTTTATAAAGCTGCCTCTTGTACAAGTTAATTAAGAGATGCTAATGAAGTGAGCAGACCATACACCGTCGCACCCTGAGACACTGAAACAAATTTAGAATCTCAGTGGATTTTGTTTTTAAACAGAGAAGTCTTTAGAAAAGTTTTTGTAAATTAATTTAAAATTCAAAAAACTAATATTTTGTTATTGCAATTCTTCTTATTATAATAAAATATTTAAGATTAAGATGTATAACCATCTTTTCTCCGTGTAAACCCTCGCTGGACCTTAAAAAACCGCACAATCGTTAGAAAATGGAAATATTTAAATGGCCTTGTATATCACAAAATTTCTTTACGTGGGCGCATCACAATATTTTAATTGAATTTGCATGACAATTGCAGCCAAGGACTCTAAGCCACTCCTTGCCACACGGGATTTTCTCCCGCTGTCTGCCTGTCAGCTCCTCGGAATGGGATGAGATGCTATTTTTAGTCCGCTAAGCGAATCGAGTATAAATATTCAATGAGTCGGCGGTGTAAACAGAGTCCAATACATGACGTGCACGAATCGATTACCCGACTAAGTATCCTCTGACGCAATCGGGACCTTTGTGTAATTAGAAGGGCAGGCCAAAAAAAGAATGAGAAATATTGTGTAGCATCCTCGGAGCGATTCGAATCTCGAGTGTGGCCAAATAAAAAAAATAATAAATAAATGTGGTGCACAGGAGCAGCAGCAACAGCAACAACAACAACATCGGCTGACAGCTGCCAACTTGGGCATTATCCTGGCCATTGTCCGTCCCCCTCGCACCCAGTAGTCCTGTCTCGCTCCTGTGGCCTGCGGTCAAATGCGAGCGCCTTGTCGAATGGCTGTCAAGGATTATTGTTGCTCCTGTTGCCGCTCCTGCTGCTCATGTTGCTGTTGCTGTTGCTCCTGTAGCTGCTGTCGCCTGCGGTGGCTTTTGTCTCGCTTCCAGCTGGAGTGTGTCTCCCTGTCTTTTTCACTCTCCCCCGTCTCTTTCTCTTTGGTTTTTTTCAGTTATCCTGCGTGTGCGTGTTGTTTTGCTAACAATGTTGAAGCTGCAAAGTTATTAATAATTGTTTTGTATATTATATTTCGCTGGCGATGCTGGACACGCATTCTTCTGATTTAAAGGACATTGAGAAAAAAGAGACTTTTATATTTTTAGTACGGATTTTTTGAAACTTAAAAGTCCCTAATAAAAGTTACAGAAAGGTCACAAAAAAATAAATTACGATAAATTTAATTTTCTTATAATTTGTGCAAGGACTTTTAATACTTGTTGAAAACTACAAACATGTTAAAAAAGCTCACCGAATTTTAATTAATATTTATTAAAAGCTTGTCAATTGACATGAATGTAATTATAACATGTTAAAGAGATAAAAAACCAAGCAATTAGTACAAATTTAAATTACCACCCAATTAATAATAGTTCGCTTGCATTAATGGCCACTTTTTCCGCTCTCGCCACAACCAATTACGTCGACAGCGAATTTAGTTAACAGTAAAGCTCAGCGTTTATTATTTATAGAGACATAAATTTAAAAACCAATGCCACTCAACAGAATCATTTATGTTAATCCGATAAATAAAGCAGACACACACACTCGTTGCAAACTGCCAACTTCCGTGGCAATCAGCTTATGTCATTCGCCTTGTCGTCCTGAATAATGTAACGAATGCAGGAGAAGTACAGTGAAGCCTGTCTGTGAGTGTGCCCCTTAGATTTGCCGAGTGTCAACAGCAGTTGAGCCAAGCAAAAAAAGCAAAACACAAGGAAAAGGAAAACACTGTCTGACATATTTTATTCATTAGGCGCAGAGCGTAGAAAATAAAAGGAAAAACATGCAAATGACAATGAGGAAGCATACAGTTGCGCCATGTAAATATTTTTATGGTCATAAGTAGGAATTTTGTACATGCCAATGCCGGAAAATGCAGATGGAAATGCGGGGAATGGAAAGTGGGGAGTGGACATTAAAAAGCCAGTAAAACGCGCTTTACTGATTTCATTTGGCAGCCAGGATTCTCTATATATGTGTGTGCTTGTGCGTGTGTCTGTGTGGACCAGACTCTTGGCATAGTTGCCAACATACACACACACCGTGTTTGCATAAGTATGCATGTTTTATTGCACACACACGCGGTGTGTGTTTTGCGGCTGCTGCCGCTATTTACAAGTGTTTTCCACATACATTTATACCCTAAAAAAGGGCGTGAGCTGCAAGGGTATGTGTGTGCTGGCAGCCATTTTGAAAAGGATATAAAAGAATACAAATAAGGGAAAATTTTGAAAATAATATTATAAAATATTATATTTTTTCTAGAGAACTCAAAAATTAATTATTGGGTACGAAATTAAATAATTAAAAAAAATTGTTTCTTTCAAATATTTAAAAAATGGATTTTTTTAAATTTCTAAATACAAAATAAATTTGAAATTAAAGCTTTTAAATTAAATAACATACAAATATTTTGAAAATAAATTTTAATAAAAAACTAAAATCTAAATACATAAATTTCAGAAGATGTATATAAAAAACAAGAGAGAACGCTATAGTCGGGTTCGTGTCCCGACTATCTAATACCCGTCACTCAGTGCGAGCGCTGTACTCGGGTTGGTGTCCCGACTAATAATCGTAACTCAGCTAAAGGGAGTGCGAGGGAGATAGATATAGAAATTTTGATTGCGTATAACTTTTTAATGAATGGTCCGATTTGAAAAATGTCTTCTACATTTCGATAGGTATAAATATGCACAACAAAATTGCATTTATACCTCTCGGAAATCTTAAAAGGTGTGGGCGCCAGACACATTTTAAAATCGTTAGTGGGCGATTGTGGGCGTTAGAGGGGGCGTGGCACTCGGCTAAAATAAACTTGCGCTGCGTAGGAAGCCCAAGAATATGCGTGGAAAATCTCAACCTTCTAGCTTTTGTAGTTTCCGAGATCTCAGCGTTCATACAGACAGACAGACGGACAGACGGACAGACGGACAGACGGACAGACGGACAGACGGACAGACGGACATGGCTAGATCGACTCGGCTAGTGATCCTGATCAAAAATATATATAGTTTATGGGGTCGGAAACGCTTCCTTCTACCTGTTACATACTTTTGCACGAATCTAATATACCCTTTTACTCTACGAGTAACGGGTATAACTAGCCAACCAAAATACCCATTATTTAATCACACTCTTTGCCCAGCCCCAAGTGTACATCAAAGGTTTATGATAATGGTCACACGGCATATATACGAGTGTTTAGAGCACTCCATCATAGCTTTATCTGGGAGTAGGTCGGAACCGCTCTCGTGCCATTTCTCCTGGCACCTTTCACCGATTGCTTTTACCTCGATATGTTCATTTGGGCGCAAGATTTGCATACATGTATGAAAAAAGGAGCTCTATAACACACACACACTCTAGGGAACATCCACAAACATTTGTACATATATTGCTGTTGCTTGTTGGCAATTTATTTGTAGCTTCCGTAGCGTATACGCAGTGTGGTCGCTCATCAACGAGAGCCCTGCTAATGGGAAATATTTGTTTTAAAAGCCAAAAGGTGCCTGCCCAACTACATGACTCACCCGCAGACAACAGCATGTTCCCTCCGTGGTTCCTCCTCCTGTGGTTACTTTTGTTTCCCAAAGCCATAATGATGTCATCAAAGTTTCCCCTCCACTCATCCTTTCAGTTTTTGTGCGTAGATCTCGAGAGCTGCTTGTAACGTGTAAATTATGTACAAACATTTGGTCGGTTAAGAGCTGTACAAACTTGGATTAAAAACATTTCGGCAGTCCCACAGCCTTTGGGGTTGGCATTAAATCCTATTATTTCCCAGTCGAAACAAAACTTTTCGTACTCCTTGGCACAAAAGGTGTTTGTGTGAAACGTGTCCTGTACGCCAGGTGAATAATTAATGGTCCCAGGCTAAGGGAAGTGTCCATCTAGCTGGCCGCCCGGTCACTTAAATCACTGGGCAGCCGATGCGTATACGTAATTTTTCGGAATTCCAAATTTTTATTCACAAATCACACGGTTTCTGCAGGCTGAGCAGTCTTATTTAAATTACTTATTCAAGACCTTTTTTACCAATATGATTGTGGCAATAAATTTTGGTTGGCTGAGTAAGAATTTATATTATTCATTTATAACCTTTAAGTTTTATTGCAATACAAGTATCATTATTTTATTATTTTTTCTTAAATCTTCAAATCTTAAATATCAATTTAGATTATATATTTATGGCTTCCCACATATTAATTATGATCTGCCTTTATGAATTTTGCAGTTTTACGACTACACAGACATCGCCGAGGATGCCGCACGCCAGTTTATTGAATTTTTATCGAGCAAATTCCCAAATGCCAACACACCGATTACCATCGATGAGCCGACACGTGCGGAGGTGAGTCGCCGGGCCAATGGAATCGCCAGCTATGCCCTCAACGAGGACGACAATCTCCTGGCCTTCGCCATCGCCGCGCCCAGCATTCACACGGTGGTCGTTAAATTCAGGGATAACGTTACGGTATGCACTCGCTAATCAGGGATAATGGGTCCCAGTTAATCGGGTTTACCTTTTGCAGATACCACCGGATCAGGTGCACAATAAGGCATATTTGGGTTCCTATTGGCGGGAGTTGGGGTGAGTTGGTTGCAAAAAATCCATTAGTTCTTAATGAGCGTTTCTGTAAGGGCCCTTAAAAGTATGCTCTTATATTTGTAAGAGGTCCTGGTTAAAAAAAATGTTAAATATATTTGATTAATTCACTTAAATCGGAATAAAATACGCTTTACACAAATGTATACCAAATAAACTTTAAAGAGCTTTTAAAGCCCATTGATCCCATAATTTATTTTATCCTTTGGCACAAGGGTACTTAAATAATTACAAAGCTCTAATACATTTAATTACTAATTACTCTAAAACGCACACAAATGCAAGGAGATTATTTAAAGCCTCTAAAATTTAACAACTAATTAAATTCAATAAGCTGTTGAGCTGGCTTAGAAGATATCCATCGCTTAATTTATATAGGCCACTTAGACACACAATACTCATATGCACAGGCTGAATTATTTTGGAAAGTTGCCCATAAATGTGTTTTTTGTTTTGCCTCGCTTACAGTGCGGCCTGGAACAGCACGGACGGCACCCAGGAGTGGGGGGCTCCGTTCCGCGACTGCAACCTGTTGACGCGTCGCTGGCTCTGGCCATTTCGAATATCCTTCAGCGAGCACAGGATCAAGTGAGTCCCGAATCGATATGAAACCATATGGCATATGACTTGTAATTTATGGTAAATATTTTCAGAGTTGTGGCGGCTGCTTTTATTGCCGCCGATGAGGATGTGTGCAACGATGGATTGGAGGAAGTTTTCGGTCGTCGTCATGGGTTAGTAAATTGCTTTAAAAATTATATAGAACTATATAAAATTATATCCTTTCAGCTGCGATCGAAATACCACTTTTTGCCTGCTCACCGAGAACAAACCCGCCGCCACCAGGGATGTGTACACTTGTCTGTGCCGCGAATCCTACTACCTGCCCAACTCCACGCTCCAGGGATTCCGTGGCGATCGCGTCGAGCTATCCGAGGGCTATGACAACTACTCCTGTATTCCGTGTCCCGGAGGCTGCTCAAACTGCGACAGCAACGGCGTCTGTCTCACCTTCCAGGAGGAGGAGGTGCTCAACGTGGACGCCTGCCTGCGTCTCCTGGTGGCCATCGTCCTGGGCGCCTGCATCCTTTGCTGCGTCGTCCTGGGCGTGATTGTCTTCCGGCAGAGAAAGTGCAAGGTACAGAAACTCATAAAGGGAAAACCCAAAAAAAAATCGATATGACACGTAGATCGATTTTACATTTTTAATTTCAATTTTAATTTGACCTGGTCGAAAAAAGTATTTCATATAAAAACGAAATGGGTTTTGCCTGACTTACAAATTTACATGACCATATCGATTTTACGGGAACATGTTTTTTTTTTTGTGTAAAGAAGAAATATTATTAAAGTACTCTTTAAAGATCAAAAATATTTTAGTGAAAATCTTAAAACGATCTTTATTATATTCTGAACAATTAAAAAGATATATAATTTAAAAATAAAATTCGACTAATAGATATTTTTTGATGAAAATTTTTATAAAACATAATAGATTTATAAACAGTAAACTTTTTGATATTTTTAGGCCATTGCCTCGGGCATGTGGACTGTGCTGGAGACGATACTGCTGGGCATTGTTTTACTTTATGCATCCGTGAGTGGTCCTTGAGCAAGTGTGACACCCACTTCTCTTCACTAACATATTCCCTTGCAGGTTGCCGTCCATTTCTTTCCCGCCTCCACCGAGCGCTGTCTGCTGGAACCGTGGCTCCGGGAGCTGGGCTTCATCACCTGCTACGGAGCCATCATCCTGAAGCTCTATCGCCACCTGGTGGACTTCCGCACCCGCAAGGCCCATCGCTGGGTGCTGAGGGACGTGGATCTGCTCAAGTATCTGGGCACCATGGTCTTCGCCGTCATCTGCTACATGGCCGCCTTCACGGCCTCGTCGCTGGACCTCCTGGAAAGTGCCCAGCTGGAGAGTCTCCGGGAGGCGGACACGAACACCTGCCATCCGCTCAAATGGGAGCTGGTCACGCAGACCAGCGAGATGCTCATCCTGTGCTTCGGACTCCACCTGGCCATCGCCAGCCGGAATGCCAACACCCAGTTCCGGGTAAGATGTTAAGTCTGTAAAGTGCAAAAGTCAAACAGATTGTGGTGAAGAATTTTATACTGAACTATTAAGAAGGATAAGGTGCTTCTATCAGTCTATGAAAAACATTACAAATTTTAGATTGTCTTGTTCTCCTTGTCTAAAAAGTTATAAAGGTTTTATTTCAATTCTTAATAATGAATTGAATTAGATGATATTTTCAAAACAGAAAAATCTTGGAATTTATACGACTTATTCACCTATTGCTAAAAATTATATAGATTCAGTTTAAAGTCTTGACACTTTTAGTTAATATTTTTAATGGTTGAAAAATTCCTTAAATTTACACGACTTTTTCTTTTGTTGCTAGAAAATTATTAAGATTTAAATTTAAGTCCTAGCAATGAAATCAAATGGATAATAATTAAATAAATTACAATTTAGGTTTGTGCTTAAACGTGTTATGATTTTTGAAAAATAGTTGTATCTTCTAATTAAATGTTAATTAGTATTTGTTTTTAAATATTAATGAAAAACCTTTGAACAAATTGCTGCTAAATTTCGACTTGAAAGCATTTTTAAAAGGGAACCCCTCCCCAGCTAATTAACTAAACTTAAGTGACATTGTGAGAGCAAATGGCAAATGGTCAAGTGAATTAACCAGCTATTTCCGTTCGTTCGTCGCCCCTTTAGGAACGGCAATTTCTGGTGACCGCGCTGACGCTGGAGTTCCTGGTCTCGTCGAGCTTCTACTTTCTGCGCTTTCTCTACCTGCCGGAAATGAGTCCCAGCGCCATTTTGCTGGCCCTGTTCATCCGCTCGCAGCTGACGAACAGCTTCGCCTTGGGCCTGATATTTGTGCCAAAGTTGTGGTATCAGCACAAGCAGGTAACCGATACGAGTTCGAAGCATTTTAATTTACTTATTTTCCTTTGGTTTCCTTGGTTCGAGTACGCTTTTGTGTTGAACACATTGAGATTTAATTAGGAACCGTTGCGTCCTAGTTGGGCATTGAATATATATATATGCTTAGAGTATTCATCCCCATTCACTTTGTGCTGTCTGCCGCGGTCGTGGTCGTCATATTATAGTCATCGACATCCGCATTTGGTATAGACATTGGTTGAGGAAACGATTTTTGTTAATAACTAGCCAACACAAAATATTAAAAAAAATATAGGGGAAACCCAATCAAAAAAGCTTTGTTGCTTTTGCTAAAAACAATTGATTATTTCATTTGGTTATGGTTATCTTTAGTTCCTGTTCTGGTTTCATCGAGAAAATTAACATAATTTTAGTATTAAGCTAACATTGAATTGAAACTTTAGTCAAGCTATGAAGTTGCTGCAAGTGTGTCTCGTTTTATCTAAGAATGTTTGACTGTTTTTAGCTCTTATTATTTCCGTTTGATTCTATTGCACTTGAACTTGATCTTATAATTAGCACGCAATTTTATTTGCATGTTTAGCAGTGATTTTTGCATGATTTCTCCAACACAACACATCAAACTACAAACTATGACAAAAATCGGTTTCCTATCAAAATTCCCAATATGCATACCAGAATAACTCCAAACTAGTGTTTCCAAAATTCTACCTCACAGTAACTTTCTCTGTCTTTGTGTCTCTCTCAACCGAATAATCTTAAACTGAAATTCTCTGTCTAAGTAGTCTTCTTATAGCTAACGTCCATGTTTCTTAACTTTTGAGTTTCCTATTTTGATTTTCTTTTGTTTTTCATTTCCAGCACCACAACAGAAACAATCACAACCAATGAGCACCTAACACCCACCAACTACATCTATAAACTACATATACATATCAAATACATACTCTCCAGCACAGATCTATTCTATTCTGTTTTCGCTCTCTCTTGAGTTACTTTTCCATTTCCGTTTCCGTTCTCCATTTTCCGTTTTGACTTCCTGAGTGTGGTTTGCGGTGTTTGTTGCATCTTCATAGCTTGCAGGTTCGTTCGCTAGCGTATGATCTATCAATACGTTTACCTGTGGATGCTTTCAAGGGTACGTCACACGACGCCGGCCAGCGGCTGGGCGGAGGATATGCCGGGCTCTGTCTGGGCGATCCGGACATCGGGGAGCTGACCATATCCGAAATGAGTCCCGAGGACATACGCGCCGAACTCAAAAGGTACGAGAGAAAAACTTGTTGAGATTATTTGTATCTATAAAAGGGTCCTGCATGAGTACACTTGAATTGACAAACAAGTCAATTTTTGAAAACAGAGTGAGTGAGTTCAAGTGAGTTAACTTAGATCACTTGGTTTACTTGATCACTCGTAAGGACAAAACAAGTAATACAAACACAGAATAAAAGTTAGTGGGAGTGATAGAATTACTAAGCAAATTATTTGGTGATTCTAAATTATTTTTCCTTATGAAAAAATCAAGTGAAAAAGTGATCAAAGTTAACTAAAATTAAAAATTGACTCATGCAGGACTCTAATCTATAATGCATGATCACCAAAAAACATAGGTACAATCTGATAGGGTATTCCAAAACTGATATTTTGATATTAAATATGTACCTTGCCGATTCCAGACTGTACACCCAACTGGAGATTATGAAGAACAAGACTCTGAGGCAGGACAATCCGCACATCAGCAAGCGACGTGGCGGACGCAAGGCGGGTCACCGCCGCTTCTCCCTGCAGGTGAGTCGGGGTCACCACATCCGCAGCAGCGTAGTCCACCAGCCATAGTGCTCACTGTACATGACATCGGGGGGACCTGGCTGTAGGACTCAGTGACCCAGATCGGTATTGCTGTAACTCTTCCAACCGAAACGATATACCAAACCTTATGCTGCCTATCCCGAGCTCCCTAGATCTTTCTCTCTATCCGTCTACGACTCTCTTTTTCTCTCGATCCTCCAATGTGAACTCTCAGTATTGTTTGCCACTAATATTAATACATCTATAAATATCATTGTTCTTGTCATGACTATGTACAATATATTCGAATCCCACCACAACCAAACCAAACAATACATTAACCACCAATGTTCAATGTAGAAAAAGGGCAGCAAGGATAAGGTAAGAACTGTCGGCCTAGCATAAACCTAAAACCTAACCCCCTATAAAATATCTGTGTTGTGACTGTAAGCTAAACCCCAATAAAGAAATTACAAGAACTTCTCGCACGTTTGTCTATAAACTTAGACCCAAGTCCCCCGATAAAAAACCCAATACCCATTTGTGTGTCTGCGTGTGTGCATGTGTCCGTCCATAGATAGCACTTCATGTCTAATCCAAAACAAAAACCGATTGCACACGAAACTACGAAAAACTACAGTTCCCTGAACTATGAAATTCCATACTAAGATATCTTAAATCCGCAGGCTCTAAGTGCCAAACACCGCAGCAACAAGCATCATCAGGACATTGAGATCACCGAGGCGGAACCTTCCCGAACGCCCGAGGACTCAGTTTGCAGTGCCGAAGGACCCACGGACACCTATGCCGAAATATCGGGCGTATCCCACTCAATGCTCTCCCACTCGATGGTCTCCCACTCCGTTGTCTCGCACTCAAAGTAAGGAAAACTAAGGAGACCGATTCGCAGGATCATTAAGGATAAGCTAACCGATATTCCAGCAATCAGAGAGATTTGTACATAAGTATTAAACGGTACGATACATGTTGGTATTTGTAGATAATATGTATATGTATGTGAGAAATAGTTATTATATAGCGCAACAACACAAACAATAAAAGAATTACTTTAATTTCGCAAAGAAAGAAAAACCAACAACAAGAAACATACAAAAGAGATGCAACACACAAAAACACAAACAATAACAAACATTACTTTATTTTTAATGAAACGAAAAGTCAAGAACCTTGAAAGCAGTCAAGTTTTACAAAGTTTTGATAAATTTTTAGACGATTTTACTTTGTTGATTTCTCTCAGTCTTGAGTTCGATTGATTTCGATGATAGGGAAAACTGATAGATCAAAGTTGTACGAACGGTAGAGCGGTAAAACAGAGCCCACCTGTGTAGGTAACGATAAAACTGTAAGAACAAAAGCCACAAACATTAACAAATATAATCCTATTCCTGATACTCGTGTTTTTGGTTTACCTCTTAGTTCCTCAATAGTTACTAACACTCGAATTATTTGCCTATTGTTTTCAAGCCAACCGAACACTATCTACTGCATCTCTACAATCGCTAGAGATATAGAAAAGAGTGGAAACACAGCGAAAATCATTTTAAAACAGAGAATAATCAGTTGTAAATTTGAGCTTATAGGCATTAAATCTAGTAATTCCCTCATAACTATCGTACGTTTTACGTCTTACTAATCTTACAAACTAAAATATATTTGTATTATATATTGTATACTTGTAATTCCCACTCATTCCCATCCAAAATCCGAACGGGGCAAACTTTTTGTAAATACACAATGTACGAAGACGAGTTGCAGAGAGAAAAACAAATTGTTACATTTTCAAGACACAGAGTTCCCCATCGAGAGTGAAAATCATAGGAAAATGCTTAATAGAGGCTTAAGTACATTTTTTTTTACAACATTAGCCGAACAAATTCTGTCTCAAGTATTATTACACTACTAGATTTCCTCCAAAATGTTCAGATCCCAATCCAGAGCATCTTAAATTCGTTATTCTCGAAAAAATAAACGTTCGTGTTAGAGTATTGAAAACACACAAAGTGTAAACATTTCAAATGTACGCAATAAATTTTGGAGGCGATCGTTATAAAAAAGAAGGGGGAAAACAAGTCCATAGAAAACCTATAGTACAGTTAAATGGGCATTTATAAGGGTTATAAAAAGTATTTCTATATACACTACAAAAAATATATAGCGAGTAAAACATGGCAAATGGTTAAATTAGGTAAACTTACAGCATGCATGCAACAAATTGAGCATTTAAAACAAAAAGAAGAAAGCGAAACCCAAAATGATAATTAAAATAAAAAAAGCCTACTTTTGGTTGCGTTTGATCAAAAGTGTGTGTATAAAAAAATATTTATGGGAAATATACATAAACATATAACTAACTTATATTATATATAAATATATATACATATATATGAGTGTAATCAGCATTACAATAAAACAAAACCGAGAGGCAAACTAAATTAGTGGCTCAGCGCAAAGGAAACTACAAAAAACGATTGGAAAAGAAACAGAATACATTTTGAAAGTGTGATAGTGTTCATAATATTCGTTCATTGTAATTAAAAGAGAAAACAAAACTAAATAAAATAAATAAATGATCAAATGTGACGTGTTTACTTTTGGGATAGATGTGCTTGTGATTCTTCCGCCTAGTCGCACTCAAAATCTGATATTTCCGTATTACCAATACGAAAACTCTTCAAAAGACCCTCTTCCGTTTTCATTTATAATCTTTCTACATGGTTGGACTTTATTTTGTATATATAGTTCCTTTTTATATATTTTTAATTGAAATATTGCTCGAATATTTGCTAGATTTTGTCACGTAAATTTAGATTGCAAGTACATACATTTATATTCGTAATATCTATTTATATATTTAATAATAATAAATTTTAATTACAATTTTATTTCTAATTACTCACTTGCTTACGTTCGTGTTTGTGTGTCTGTTGTCTGGCTTCGTTTTTGGATTCGTGGCTAAGAGCTAATAGTTAGTCGGTATTTAGTACGTATCGTGTTCAACATGATTAGGTTCGCGATGACGCCATTCATTCATTGGTAGTCACTTACAGCAGAGTTAATTGGTTTTCGTTTGTGTTGCGGTTAGTTAAGCTTGGATTTAGCTGTTGCTGTTTGCTTTTGATCGTCAACTCATCTCGGTTTATTTAAAACTTAAAGAATTACAATAGTTTAGTACTTAGAATTTATTTTGGTTTTACATGCGCTGCGCATCGTTTGTTGCTGTGCTATGTGCCATTAGGTAGACAATTTGTTTGAGTGTATTATGCATTAATATTAGATACAGGTTTATATATTTGTATACTTTATAATTATATAACACTATGTTATAAAAATGTACATGGTTTTGGTTTTGCTACAGTTTTAGTTGGTTTAGTACGTACAACTCTTGCAAGTAATCATTTGCTGGTTTAAAAAACGTTTTTAAGTAGTCGTAAAAATGATCAATCCATATTTATATATATTACAAAAACAACGTTAAGCTTTTTTTTTATCAAAAGTATCAATTATGTAGATCGTTATGTTAAATTTGTTTAATCTTCTAGTTTGGCGCATAAAGCTGTGTTGCGTTTAGCGTAGATTTCTCATTTCGATTTGCCTTAAATACTTTTTGTCTTGCGTTAAAAAATGCAAATTTTGTAAAATTAATTTCTTAGTTATGCTTTTTGTTTTTTTGTTTTTTTGTTTCTTTAGTTTTATACAATCTCACTGTTAAGCTTAGTTTAACAAACAAAAGCAGCGCTTTCAACTTAAATAATTTAAAAAATAAACAATGGTTAACATTCTTCAATAAAAACAAGCTAAAATGATTAAATCATTTAGTAATTAAAAGTAAATAAATTTTTAAAGCCAAAACAAACGAGATCCTGCTCGTGTGCAAATAATTGAGAAATGACTAAATTTCGTGTTGCTTTTTCAACATTTCCTCTATGAGTTGAAATTTTGAAAAGGGTTTGCATGTAGAATAAATAATTTTGTGTTGTTTTGAGTTCGAATAATATAAATTTATAATTTAAGAAATAATTTAAGTTTTGCGCGTAGACATGAGTTTACCTTTCTTTGTTTCGCTGTTTTTCAATAACATTTACAAACAAGTTTAGGAAGTAGTAAAAATAATATTGCCACAAAGTATATGAGTAAAAAATATTTTCTCTCTCTTTATAAATAATAGATGTGTGTGGTGTGTGTGTTTGTTGTGTGTCGTGTCGTGTTGTGTTGTGGGTATAGCGCCGCGCGTAAGTGAGTGTGCGCTAAGGAGTCACCATAAAATCTCATAGAATAACAAAATATTATATACGATATACATATAGTTGTATAAAAATAAAATTGCAAAACATCTACATAACCAAATAATAATAAAAATCAAAAATCGATTGCAATAACTTAAACATTCTACGAACTGTACGCTAATTTAGTACAACTTTTGTTTCCGCTTCAGCGTCAACCGAAATGAAAGTATCTAATTTAGTAATTTAATCTAGCAGCACTGTGAAGAGATTTGCCAGTCGTTGGTTGCGTTGCATCCGCTTCAGTTAACTCCCGCGTGTGTGTGAGTGTGTCTCGTCTTTGAAAAGGTCTTTCATTTTGGGTTGCTCATATCGTTTCCGCTTCCGTTTCCGCTGGAGCTCCACCCCTATGCCGATGCCGCAGCCGCTGCAGATGGCTTCTTTGGATCCGAGTCCGAATCGGCGGACGACGACGACAACGCTGACGGCGGCGGCGGCGCATCAGAAGAAGGAGGAGGAGGAGCGGCTGGGGCAGGAACGGGTATCTGGCGGCCACCGCCTGGCCTGCCCTAGAGCGGATGCAGCTTGGTCGTGTGCACCGTGAGGGCGCTGCGCTGCGTGAAGCGCTTGTCGCAGTACGGACAGGTGTACGGCTTCTCGCCGGTGTGCGTCCGTATGTGCTTGGTGAGGTAGTCCTTCACGCTGAAGGACTTCTCGCAGTACCCGCAATGAAACGGCTTCTCTCCTGCAAAACAGCCAACGGGATTGGCGAGACGGAGAAATTCGGGATACTCGGTTAGCACTTGTCGCTAGCAGAAAGCCAGTTTGCTTGGTGCGTGCAGTACCAAAGGTTTGATTGATTGATTGATTGACTGAGTGGTTGATGTGTGGGTACAGTAGATATGTGTATGCATATCAAATAAGGTCTTGCACGTAATCAAACTATGTATAAGATTATATATTAAATGTGTATATATATATTTGATTGGTGTTGTTAAAATGCATTCGAGACATATTATTACGTAATGAGATGAGGCGGCGGGCGATACGGATTTGGATTATCATATTGCTTTTGTACCCTCACAGAAAGCCTGCTAAATCATAGTTGTGGTTTTCGTATTCATTTCTGTGAGGGTATGTAAACAGTGACTCATACGATTCGTTAATTGTTGCTAATCGAAGAAGATGGCAAAATTGCAAGGCCCTGAATGTCACTAGCTGGAATTGGAAATATTGCGTTACGAGAAACTGAAACTGTAACTAGACTGTTGATAACTAGATTGATTATAATCTAAAATAAACATTTTTTACAAGGCAATCAGTTTGGAAATCTTTTTATAGCAGCAGCTAAGTCAAAGCTCATTAATTTTTATACGATTGTATTAATTCATATTAATCAGAGTCTCTTGCATATTAAGTTAAATATTTGTAAACATGAAATAAAAAATTAATATACTGTTAATTTGAACTTTTGTAATTATGGTGCCGCTGTATCGTGTACAACAAGCAGCTGATTAGTATTTTTTTGATTGTTTTAATTTATATTAATCAGAGCCTATTCCATATCACTTATCAAATTAAAATATTAATTTAAATAGTTTTAAATGAAATAAAAAATGTTGGTTTAAAGTTTTGTAATTATGGTGCCGCTGTATCGTGTACAACCAGCTTACGATTTTTTTTTTAATTTTGAAAGGTTTTTAATAAAGTTTTCAGAACATGAGTGTAAGCTAATGACATTCTAGCCTGATCCTGATTGGATTTTCCAATTTTCGCCACCTTTTCTCTGCGTGCTTTTCTGCGCAGGCGCTGCGGCGGCTCGTGTCAGGTGATCGAGCTTCGGCAGCGACGCTGGCAGAGGTGAGAGATTGATATCGGTACTGATAGGTTGAGATCGAGATTGATAGAGAGATTGAGCGAGTTTGTGTATGGCAAATGGAAATGGACTTGCATACAGAGGTTTCTCTTTTTTGAGTATTGCTTTTTTCTCATCGCCCGAGGGCGATAATATACTGATCGATTGATTGGTTGAAGAGTCGATTGATTGATTGATTGGTTGAGTTGATTGAGAGCTGATTGACTGACTGAATTGATTTGAAAAATATTGCTTCTCACCCGTGTGAGTCGTTAAATGTTTGTTCAGGTAATCCTTAACAGTGAACGCCCTGCCACAATAGCCACATCTAAATGGTTTCTCACCTGTATGTATGCGAGTGTGCTGTTTTAGTGTATTCGATTGAGTGAAGGACTTGCCGCAGTAGGAGCACGTGTAGGGGCGTTCTTTGGGCGTGGCGCTGTCGGAGTTGCGATTCGGAGAGTGGAGATTCGAGAGTTAAGAATTATACATTTTTCATATTCACAAAATAACGCGCAGAAACGGAGAAGAGAGAGAGAGATAGAGAGAGAGAGAGAGGGCGCGGGAGAAAAGAAAGAAATTCGAATTATATTATTAGTAACACTCGATATAAAAATAAGTTGCAAAACAAACGACACACGAACGCATGGGCCTCGTCCCAAAAGCTTCGAGGGCGCGCCCATGCGCCCAGCTGGCCCCGTAGGAAAACAAAAATAATATATACAAGTGGTAAGATTATTAGGGTTAGCTTGCCGATCGCCCGCTTCAGCGCCAAAAAGAGACCTATTTGTTGGTCCAAGGTTCTCTTTGAGCTGAAGCAGGAACGGCCTTGGAATGAGTAACGGGTACCCCAGCAATGATTTAGTAACTGACGGTCTACGAAAACCAGATGTAAAATAATACATTATCATACTAAATTAAAATAAAAATTGAAACTTAAAATGTATCTCAAATATTTGTTATTTCTTCGGATAGTTCAACTTTTTGAGGTTTAAATCTGGCCTATACTAACCATTTAAGCAATTTAGATTTTTGTAAAAGGTTCCATTTTGTATAAAAATGTTAAATAAAAATTGAAACTTAAAATGTTTCTCAATCATAGGTTATTTCTTAAGATAGTTCAATTTTTTGAGCTTCAAATCTGGCCTATACTACCAGTTTAGATTTTTGTAAAATGATCCATTTTGTATAAAAACGTCAAATAAAAACTGAAAAAATAATTTGAAATTAATCTCAATCATAGGTTATTTCTTTAGATGGTTCCACTTTTTGAGTTTCAAGTGTGTCCTATACTAACTAATTTAACAATTTATTTTTTACAATTGTAAAATGATCCATTTTGTATAAAAATGTCAAATAAAAGTTTAAACTTTAAATGTTTCTCAATCATAGGTTATTTCTTCGTCAATGTTTGTCAATCATAGGTTATTTCTTTAGATAGTTCAACTTTTTAAGGTTTAAATCTGGACTATACTAACCAATTTAGCAATTACAATTTTTTTCATTTGTATACCTTTAAGAAATATACAAAAATCTTCAATTTCTATCAACATTAATTGGACAGAAGCCCTAATTAAACTAATATAAATAGATCATCTAAAAGATCTACTAGATAATTTGGAAGACTATCCTACATCCAATATAAAATCTAGCTAAATCTAGTTAAATCCCTGAACCTATAGCCATCATTGCCGGAGTACCCAGTCAGTAGGATGCATATAAAATGGATTTACTCTGCTTCGCCTGTGTGGATCTTGCGGTGCATGGCCAGCGTGCCGGGCGTCTTGAAGGTCTTCGGGCAGTCGGGACATTTGTGCCGGATCTTGTGCGCCAGATCGGCGGGCACCGTTTGCGTGCCGACGAGCACACCCGAGCTGGCCGGGGCGGGAACGCCGGGATTCGCTTGTATGGCATAGACGGGCACTGAGTTGACCACATCGCCGCTGTCGCTCAGGCTGAGCGGCTCCTCCTTGATGATGACCTGCGGATGGGCCACAATGGCCCCGCCATTGGCGTTCTTGTTCAGCTTGACGGTTAGTGGTGGCACCTTCAACGCCACCTGGTCGCCGGCGAGATCCTGATCCTGTTGGTGATGATGCACAGCCTGCTGCTGCTGTTGCGCCTGCTCCTGCATCTCCCGCTGTTGCTGCTCCAGCAGTTCCTGCTGCTGCTGCTGCTGTTGTTGCTGCTGCTGCTGGTGGTGGTGCTCCGCCTGCAGTTGCTGCTGCTGGTGGTGCTGCTCCTCGGGCGTCAGTCTCATATCACGCGGCGCCATCGCCGGCAGCTGGTCGTCGGGCGTCACCGCCGCCTCCTGCTGCTCCATGAAGCCCTGCTGACCGGCGGCCAGCATGGCTGTGGTGCAAATGGATCCGCACTGCGTGCACTTGTACTCGTTGGGCTGCTGGGTGGCCGAGTGGATGCCGTAGATGCTGCACATGAGGCAGCGGGCCAGGAAGGCGGAGGTCTGATGCACCAGCCGATGGTGCTCGTCCAGGTCGACGGCGCTGCCGAACTTCTCATCACAATTGAAGCAGGCGTGGCTGGGCTTGTGCTGGTGCTGCTGCTGCGGATGCTGCTGTGGGGCCTCCAGCGTTCCCTGGGCATTCAGGGTGATCCCGTGGCACAGCTGCATGTGCTCCGCGACGTGCTGCGGCCGCTCGAACTGCTGGTGGCACATGGGACAATAGTGCGCCGACACGTGCACATTGGGATCCATGCTGAGATTGGGCAGAAAGGCGGTCTTCAGGGTGTCCATGTTGGCTATCACGGCGGCCACTTGGTGCGTGGGCGTGGCAGGGGCGGCGGCGGAGGAGGAGGGGGGCGGCGGCTGATCCTCGGGGCGTGGCAGACGCTGTTCCTGTGGATTCGTGGTGGACTTTATCATTTCACTTCCTCTCTCGCTTCTTGTTTTTCTTGTTTCTTTTTCTTTTCTTTTTTCTTTTAGTTAGTGGGCAGGAGCAGGAGCAATTGGCGGTTAAAGAAGGCGAAGGCGAAAGGCGCTGCAGGAGTAATAGAAACCATAATTACAGGCAGGCAAAAGCAGGTGTGTGTGTGTGTAGTCGCTAATTAGCTAGAACGAAATCGGAAATCACAAATTCACGAAATCTTCGCCCCGATCTTCTGCATTTGACCCCCAATGTCCCCCCACAGGCGGCTGTGTGTGGAAGAAGAGGAAGAGCAAGAAGACGACGACAGCGAAGAAGAACAAGAGCAGCAGCAGAGCAGCGGCAATGCGTTCGAATTGAAAACGTTTTTTTTTTTCTTTCCCCCGTCTGTCATATTCTAAATTCGGAATTCTATTTTGATTGCTTTTTCGGTCTCTCGTTTTGTTTCCATCTTTCTTACCAGCGCACTGAATATTAACTGCACCTTGTTGTTGCTGGCGGCCGTTTAGTTGTTGTTCTTCTCGTTGCAGCGGGGATCTCGAAAACGCTGGGGCGGCCAATCAGTTTAATAACATTTTCTCCTTTGTACAACAAAAAAACGTATATTAACAAAAAAAATTTTTCACTTTTATTATTATTTTTGGCGAAAAATGTACAACTACAACAAAAAGTATCGAGTACTGGCATCGGAACGGGGAATGGCAACGCCGCTCTGAAAGTGGGCGACGATAGGTGGTGCATCTGGTAACGCTGGCTAAAACGATATTTTTAAAATACGTTTTTTTTAATTTTCTGATGATTTTTCATTATGTTAAAATAAGGAGCATAGCTGGAAGCGTAGTTGAAAACCCATTTTACCCCCTGAAATGTACATTGGAGCATTTTAAGTAAAATATTTTTATAACAAATTAGTGTGACCAGCCAGGCGTTTTGGTATTCTTGCCGTTGACGGTCACTCTGTTCCTTAAACGAAATAATAATTTCACAACCATTGGAAAAAGGAATTTATTGGTGAAATACAGAGAAGATTCCATTGCAACACAGTTGCAACAGCCTTCCGGGTCACTTACGCCTCGATTGGGCCTTTAAAACCGTGTGTCCTCCAACGCAGACACATCAAATCCACCTGCGATCCGCTGCTGGTCAGGATTTGGCCAGAGGTTTGTTTGTTTATTGGCCCGCAAACTGCCACAATTACCACCGATTTAGATCTCGATCTTGTCCAGCCTAGTGCCAAAAGGTTTGTTGAATCGGAGCTCTAAATTTCCATGAATATATGTATATTGATTTCCCCGTTTAATTGCCCAGAATGTCGTCGCCATGGGTCAAAAACAGCGAGCCAGTGCAGCAGGTCAATCTGGCGGATATTATGTCGGAGCAATATGCCCACAAGCTGCACGACAAGGAGCTGCAGCGGCACACGGAGAAGGTTCTTAAGCCGGAGCAGCCAGTAGCCTCTATTTGGGAGGCGGGAGCCGCCTCATCCCCGCCAGCGGCCAGTTACTCCAATGTGGCGGGCAGTTCGCTGAGGAATCAAAGCGACAGCGAGGAATGGGAGGATTACTCTTCGCTACTCAACGACGAGGGAATTCCAACGGAGAGCATTGAGATCCCAGAGGACAGCGATGCCGTCATTGCCCAACTACTCCAATCCCAGTTCGACCACGAGTACAACGAGGAGCTGCGTCGCATCGAGCGGCAGCAGAACAAGCAGTCCAAGGTCACCGTCACCTTGAATAAGTTCCTGCGCGACGGCGACGCCGAGTTTCTGCACGACACCGCCGAAGAGGATTACGAGGAGGATGAGCTGGACCAGCAAAAGCACGACTGGGATCGCTTCGAGGACAACGAAAGGCAGCTGGAGTCCATTCCGCGTTGTGGCTTCAAGGTAAACAAGGAGGGCGAGATGATCACCAAGCATGATCCGCAGCTATGTGCAGTGAGGAATGCCCAGCGTGTGATGTCCTTTCCGCCAGAATTTCCCACTGGCGATGCCGCTGGCTTCGACATGAAGCTTTCCAATAAGGTGAGGGAGTAACATTTACCAAGATATACCAGAACTTAAAACCTATTTCTAGGTCTTTAACCAACTGAGGGCCCACTCGCGACGTGGTCGCTCTGACAAGCACGAAAAAGTGGCCACCGCCGAGATGGGTTTGGATGCCGGCACGCGTCTGCTGTTGTATAAACTGATCAACAACCAAGTGCTCGAGCAGATCAACGGCATCATCTCCACGGGCAAAGAGGCGGTCATCTTGCACGCCAACTCCGATTCTAATTACACGGGCAGCAATGAGCATGGTCACCAGAATGGTGTGCTAGTGCCCGCGCATCTTTTGCCCCGCGAGTGTGCCATCAAGATCTTCAAGACCACACTGAACGAGTTCAAGCAGCGCGATCGGTACATCAAGGATGACTATAGATTCAAGGATCGATTTAGCAAGCAAAACCACCGCGTGATCATTAATATGTGGGCGGAGAAGGAGATGCATAATCTGATGCGAATGCAGGCCATCGGATTGAACGTTCCGGATGTGGTGGTGCTGAAGAAGCACGTGCTGGTCATGCGTTTCATCGGCGACAATCATAATGCGGCGCCCAAGTTGAAGGACGCCCGGCTGAGTGCGGCGGAGCTGAGCTGCGCCTACGAGGACATTGTGGCCGCCATGCACAAGTTGTACAACGAGGCCAAGTTGGTGCATGCCGATATGAGCGAGTATAACATACTCTGGTACGAGGGCAAGTGCTGGTTCATAGACGTGGCCCAGAGTGTTGAGCCCAAGCATCCCAGCGCCCTGGAGTTTTTGATGCGGGATTGCGGCAACATTGTGAACTTCTTCGAACGTCGCGGCCTGCCCAATATCTACACCAAGGAGCAGCTGTTTGAGTTTATAACAGGACTCAACGCAGAGGTCCACAATGCCGCCCAGCTGGAGCAGATCCACACGCGCGGAGCTTCCATTAACCAGGCAACTGCTCCGAATCAGGAGGAGTGCCCTGACGAGCTGAAGCCGCTGGAATATCCCTTCGAGCTGGCCTGGGAGAAGTCGCAGCAGGATCGCGAGGCCCAAAGGGCTCTCAAGCTAGCGCAGGATAATAACGACAATGAAACCGATACGGACAAGGACCAGGAAAGCGATGGCAACGATAATGACGACAAGGAAAAGGTCAACAAAACTGCCAAACATTGAAACTTCTAAAGCGTAGCCTGATTTTCTAGTTTAGTTTGTAATTGATATTAACGGTTTTGGCCACAGCGATTCTATTTGAATTTGTAAAATTCCTAAGGAAAAACTATGATGCTTATAGTCAAGGGTCTTGACTATAAAAGAGTCCTCGAAACAAGAATAAAGTTTAATTTTCCGACTATAAAGGTTTTTGAAATAGGTGATAGTGATGATCTTATAATAGCGGTCTCTAATAACCTTCAAAATCCATTTAAATAAGTCAAGTTTTTCCGTAATCTCTTTCTTTCGTGCGCTCCACTTTGCATTTGCTGCACTCTGGCTTTGATCTTGAATTGTTATTAATCAATTAAGATTAATGCAAATGTCAGGCCTCAATGGCCACACGCGCCACGCCCATCTTCCGAATCAGCTAACCCGGCAATTGAACTCATTTGGTGCGCAGTTTTTCCCATTAATTGGGAGATTTGTCGTTTCGATCGAATTCCCGATCAGATGATTACGTACAGAAATTCCATGCCCAGTGCACACGTCGCTGGATTGTCGAGATGTCGGATCTAGCGCATCTATCTCTATAGTCTGGATGCGTTAGCAGGTTGGACTTTGCGAAATATAGTAGTTCAAGTGTGACGTCAAAATCCAGTTGCGAGCAGTTCTGTGCGTACAAATATTGTGTATGGCTTTTGTGGGGCTTGCGATTCAAAGTCTGTTTCGGATTACCCTTCCTTATCACTAGGGGAATTTATAAACAATATATATTCCACTTAATAGTTGCTCTGATTTGATGAAATAACAGCTTAGCTGGCCTATTACAAAATCTGGAAAAAATGTATTAACAAGTCAAACGGAAATCTATTTTGGATTTCTTATTATAGCATTTGGGTTTTGACTAATTTTAAAAGATATACAGACAGGGTTGCTAAGAAGTTATCGCTATCGAAAGCGAAAACCGTTAGCAGTGTATTTCCGTTTCCCGTCTGCAAATCGAGTTCAATTTTAATTTTCAATTGAACTGATTCGCTTTGGATGTTGTTGCTCTGTAGCCGTCAATCAAAATTGAACTTTCTTTCGAGCATCGGCACACGCAGCACTGCATCCATTTACTACTTGTTGTTTATTTGCGGCGCTTGCAAGTGGAAAATATTGTTTATTTTTGATTTCTGATTGAACGCAGCACATTTGACGTTGGCAACAGCAACATCAGATCTGAAAAAAGCATCTTCTATTAGCGTCTCTTGAAATTGTGATACGAGTGGCTATATGTATGAAATTATATGTATGTTGTGCCGATGAGTGTGGGTATATGTAACACTGGGGGACCCACACATAGACCCCAAAGGGGGCCCGACTTCGTCCGATGGTGACGCAAAGCAGCGAAAGAGGAGGATCCGAAGACGAACAAAGTGGCGTGGGGATAGAAGTTGAAAATAGACTCACCGAAAACACGAGTTGGAGCAGCACAAAATTGTAAGAAATATACATACCTACATATGAATGTGTGTTTGTATGATTATTTCTTATCCCCAATAAAACTAAAATCATTTGGTGAAATAAATGTGTCATTCGCTTTCGGATTTAAAAAAATAAGTATATTTTATGCACTCACACTGTAAAATTAGACGTATTTAATATGCACTTAAAAATATTTGAAAACAAAGCTTGATTGATAAGGTTGTTCTAGATTATAGGAATGTTATTCTTATAAATAAGCTGACTTAAAAACTTGATTAAGTTTTCTTTGGAAAAATCTTATTAATCTTAGACTTGTAGGATTTAACTTTTAAATAAAAGGTAATTAGTCACGAATTATCTTTTAAGTTTGTTATCTTTCTATACCGATTTCTAAGAAATAATACGAATTTCAGGGAATTTCGAAACTGGAGGAGCACTTGAAACCAGCTTTCATTGCGGGACAAATAAAAAAAGAGCGAATAACAAGTCAAAGCAATAATCATAAAGACAGTCAGAAAGAAGTGGGCAAAAAAGGCAACCCAAAGAGAGAGAAAAATACCAAACAAAGCTATAAACTCAGACATTGCGTTTGGATCATCAATTAAAATGTGCCAGGCATGTAATCAGGCGCTCCAGCTCGAATTCCAAACATCAGTGTCCAGTCCCCGCTCCTTGGGTGAAAAAGTGGGCTGACCTAGGCATGAAATTAATTAGACTCACAGAGGGAAAAATATATTTCAAATCAATTACATTTTTTAGTTAATCAAATATTTGTTTAAAAATAATAAAGATGCATTTTTCTAAATTACTGAAAGTTCAGCAATGGTAAATCTATTTTTAACCACTTTAATAGGGTTACTTAAACTTTGAAGACAAAACCCGAATTTGGGTGTTTAATTTCAAATGGTAATAAAACTTTTAACAAATTTTTATAAAAAACTATGAACTTTTGATTAATCTAAATAATAATTAAAAACTTTGTATCCAAACTTAAAAAATAAAATCTAAAATAAAACCGTATACCCCATGTGGGGCAAAGACTTTCTTGTGTAGTTTCTTCAAGTGTAGCCATTCACTCACACACACGCGCCACTTGACAGTGCGAAGAGGAAGAGACAGAGACCGAAAACTTCGAAGGAGGCTCGTCGTGATCTTGGGGCTGCTGCTCTGCCTCTGTCAACGTCGCAGTCTCTGCCTCAGTCGCTGCCTCTGCCGACGCGATCGTGATCGAACTGACCTCAAGTGGTCGCTGCCGCCAGGCCCTCCATCCCCCATCCCACCCATCCATTCCTCCCCGCTAGCTCACTCACACACTTTCGCACACGCGGGATGTACGCAGACTGGAATTTGCGCGTTTAAAGTTAACAATTTATTTGCATTATTAATTTTCATGTTGGACCTACACCCAAAAAAAGTTTTGATAACAAGACTACTACTAAAATTTTAATTTTTTAATGTTTCTTAAATCGTATTTGGAATTTTTATTACCTTCTACTCTTGGGAATATTATTTTTTAATTTTTCTGAATGTCGAATTCAATTTTTAAGAAATCGGATCATTATAGCGATCATAGAGCAGCCATAGGAAAGATCGGAAAATTAAATGGAAAATTATATATTAATGTTCCTATAGGAATGAATTTATCTTTATTGATTTTTATATTATATTTCTTCTCTGGGATACAGCTTTTCTTTAACATTTCAAAAATGTAACAAAATTCGGGCGGCTATATTCTATAGCTGCCATAGCACGTAATAGACAGAACAGGAATGACCTGCAAGGGTGGCTAAGCGAAGCTATAGCTTCCTTTCTTCTTTTTAAATTATATTGCTTTTTCTTTGTGACTAACATTCTTCCAACAAATAGTATCTCGAAAAATCTAATGGGTTATTAATTTTTGACACCCCAGGATTAATATTTATTGAAATATGTACTTTCTTTTTATTAATGGACTTGGACTTATCATTTTGACGTTTATGAATGAATCAGTTTAGTATGATTAATATAAGATTAAGTTAATTACTCATTGACTAGAGAATTACTTTTTTTAATGTAACAAAGAATACTGATTGATTTAATGCATTTTTCCCAGTGTACGTACGCAAGTTGGTCAAGCCAAGTCTGGCGTCTCCTCTTCTCTTCCGATGGTCGACTTGGACACTCGGACACTTGGACAGCGGCATCTTCTATTTTAGGTCTAACTTGTTAACTAGTTGCTGGCAACCGGCTTCAGTTTGCCGTGGAACGCGGGCATGTAATTCAAGTTAGCTACAAAAATAGAACCTTAATTTATTGTTGCCACCATTACATTGTCCGATCGTAGTTGGCAGTAGCTGCCCTTACATGGTCATATCATTTTCATTATTCACGGTGGCGCATCTACACGCCCCTCTCCACCTCCTTGTTGCAAAATAAACGAAGCGACTTAAGCGAAAGTGAAATCTTCTGCGGTCTAAGATGTGAGTAAGGCATTCTCAAGTACAGTAGACAATGAAGTACAACACTTCAGTAAAAAAATTTAATAAATTTAAAAAAAATTTATTTTCATTTAACAGCGAAAATATTTACCTTCAAGGAGGAATTAATAGTAATATTTTACGTTAAATTTTATCTATCGTAAATCTTACTTTGTTCTATTTATTGGGTCATTAAATCTGTGCAAATGCAGCCACACGTTTTGAATAAATTAAACTGTTTAACTTCAATGTTCAGTAGCTAATAAATTTTGATTAGCTTTTAGGAACCATAAAATAATAAAACTATAAATTCTTTGAAATTTTCATTATATGAATATAATAAATCATTCTTATTATTAATAATAATTGTAAAACAAAGTAAGAAAACAGAAAATTTCACAGAATCTAAAAAAAAAATGTTCTATCTTTACCTCTTAAGAATTTTAATTTAATTTTTTTAGATTAAGGTATACCTTATAAGTTTATTAAAATAGAATATTTATTTTACTTCAGAGCATTCACTGTACACATGTCCCCTTTAATTGGTCAGCACAGCAATTTGTATATAATTAACAATTTCTTTCCCCTGGGACGACACTACGATCCCAGTAAATTATAAACCAGGCACTCTGCCACGCCCACTCCGTCGCCAACTACGCCCCCGCCCATTTCGACGCCATCTTCATAATATTCTAGGGCACTGTTGTTAGTCCCGAAAAATGAAATTTCGTGATAAACACATTCGCAAACAGTCTTAATTGATGTTTCCAAAAAATAACCTTTCGAATTGTCATCACAATTTAAGGCGAAAAACTGTTGCAAAAATAATAATAAAAATTGACAGGCACATGCTAATGAAGGTAAGCGTTCGCCTAAATGAACCTGATGAGGTTTATTAGGCTTTTGCTTGATTGCCGAACGAGCAGCGCTTACAGTACAACAAATGTCCGAAATGGCGAGAAACGTGTTTCCATAAAAATCACCTCCAAAATGTCCGTCACGTGAGACGATCGGAACGGATCGGCGATGAGTCAGCGACCCATGCGCCCCCGAGCGATATAGCAATATGTATCCCATACACATGTGTACGAATATATTCGCGGTACTCATTAATAAACCGCAAACATATTCGCTGTCGGGTATCCGAATGCACGAGTATGTAAACTGGAGGCGTTTACCCTTGACCATGTTTTGACAACCGACATTACCACATGGTCAGCAGGACCGTTATTAGCCGGGAGAACCCAATACCGAACCAATACAACATAATCCGACACAATCGATCTATGTATTTCCCTCTACCTGGGCAATAACTCACTTTTGGCATGTGCTGATTGACGGACAGATGTTTCCACAGGGGTTCCGATACCATCGGTACCTACATATCATATCTACCTGGTTCTGGCTGTTTTCTGATTTCTCCAGATTCCGTCGACTTGTTTACGAACGTCACACACAAAACGTGGTGGCGAAAAAATGGTAATACGAAGCCCTTCAAACGCGGCATTGCCAGCTCGAAAAATCCCAGGAATTGGCAATATTAATTGGCTATAAATAGAAGCTAGATCTTAACTATACCAATAAAAATAAAAACCCAGCAGTCACTATATTTTCCATATATTTTCTGTAGTCCCATTTTTTTACACAATCAAGTGAAAGAAACGAAGATTGTAAGCCAAATTCATGCAAGATGCCTTATCTGTATGGGATAGCGGACACCAAGTTCCTTCACCAGAAGGTGAAGACGAAGGTGAGGGCCCGTTCGGAGATGGCTCCTACGAAGTTCAGGCGCAACGATTTCCTCAGGGGTTGTCCCAAATACGACAAGGACGACATACCCATACAGTTTAGGACCTCGCCCGATTCCCTCGTAGAGCTGTGCTCCATTGTGGTGGACCAGCTGCCATTGCCCTCGATCTTCGAGTGGGACGACATGGACATTAGGCGATGGATCCATGGCTACGGTTATCCTCAGTATATGGTGGGTATTAATTATTACTAAAATTACTAAATTTAAAAGGAATTAAAATACAGAACACCCTTCGCGTGAATATGATCTCGGGAAGAAAGCTGCTCCTGCTGGATGCCTCTGCTTTGTGTGCCATGAATATCAAGGATTTCGATCATATCCGGCATATAACCTATGGCATTCGGATGCTCTTCCACTTTGAGCTGACCAAGTTCTCCTCCAGTATCGCCTTGCCCGATGAGAAACCCAACGAGTTGTACTTGCTGTTCCACACGCAAACCGGAATGAACTACGATCAAGTGCGCAGATCGGATCTCTACCGGCGGATGCAGATCCTCCGGGAGCGGGCCCGCAACCTGGACCACTGGGATCTGCTGTATCTGTGGCTGCGTCGCGAACAGGAGCGCAAGTTCAAGGAGCTGATCGGAATGGTTCCCCGTTCTAAGATGTTTAAGTGCGCCACGGAGGCGAAGGAACCGGAGCAGTCGCCAATGGATCTGGAACCGGAGGAGCTGATGTGTATGACCTGCATCCCGCCGTGCGATTGCGACTGGACCGAACGGGATGTCCGGCTGCCTTGGCGTCTCCAGTGCCTGGCTCCCATGCTGACCACCACGATGAGCAAGTGGAACGATATGCAGGCCCAGTGCTCCATGTGCATCCCGCCCTGCGAGTGCCGCTGGCCACCGCGCTACTACCTCACGGGAACCGTCATCCGGTGCCTCCAGCAGCGCTTCCCCGAGAAGTTCTGTCCCATCTTCGACGAGCGATATCGGGCTTCACCGCGTCCCAGTCTCGTGGAGCGTTGGACACGCTTCTCCATTTGATTTGGAGATTCTAGAAACTCTATTTATTTTATATGGACTCTATTTCGGGCTGTTTGTCCTCACAAAACCCTGAAAATTAATAAAACTCTTAAAAGTAGTCAGAAATCTATTAAGACTTTGAGAATACCCTGAGATAATACATCCTATAATGATTTAACCTATATTTTTATTTTAAATATGCTTTTTAAAACTAGTTTTTGCACATTTTTTATATTTCGCAAATTTTTTTTTGGATTTAGTTTCAATGACCTTTCAATAATGCCGTTTAGGTTTCATCTTAAAAATAATCAGTAATCTATTAAGACATTGAGAATACCCTGAGATCAGGGAACGAAAATAACTGTTATTGTAAATTTTTCATACAAAAAAATCACGCACTTAGAAGGGTCCTAAAAATTTTTTAAATACACCACAATTTTTATTAGCCATTGTAGTTTACAAATCCGTAATGATTTTTATTTTTTGATTTTTATAATAAAACTCAAAAAATAACTGTTATTTTTGATTTTTATGAATAACAGTTATTCCCTTGACATTTTGAAAAAATGAAATAATTAAAAAAACATAATACCCGTGTTTTTTATAACTTACTAAAAATTTGTTAAAAAAGGCAACCGCGCATATTTTATACCTATATTTTTTTAAAATTTTGTTTACCCACAAAATCGCCATAAATCAAGTTTGAGTTTTATTTTGATCACGACGAATAACTGTTATTTGTCAACTTTTATTATAAAACTCAAAAAATAACAGTTATTCTTTGAGTTTTACTTTACAAATCAGAAAATAACTGTTAAAGTCTGATTTTTAAAATAAAACTTATAACAGTTACGTTCCCTGCCTGAGATAATATATCTTATAATGATTTAACCTCTATTTCTATTTTAAATACGCTTTTGAAAACTGGATTTCGCACATTTTCTAACTTCAGTAGAATACATATTCTACATTTTGTTCTATTTTTATTAGTTTCTAATGTTGATTTCATAAATTTCCATATTGTGGGTACAATTAAGTGGGTAGGTTCGTAGCACTCCCATACCGCAAGCTCCGCCCTATTTAAATTCGAACAACAAAGTAGTTTGTGTTTCAGAAAATCTATTTCATCATGCATATCTACACTAGAAAAAAACGATCTGTTGTTGTTATTAGCATCTCAGCTGTTTTGAAAACAAACAAATCTCTCGCCAATAGGCAATTAATCAACAAAATATCTGTCAAAACAAAAAGCTACCGGCAAAGTGGACTAAAAAAGTACTTACTTTGTAAGGAGTCATCGCTTTGGCAGCAGTTTTTCACTGCTGATAAAGTAATTTTGATTCGAACATTTCTGCCGTTAGGGGGTTAACTATCCGATCGCATCTGGATAAAGATAATGGCAGCTGGGCAATCGAACTGACAGGCGTCGAGAAAGTAGGGAAAGGAGAAAGAAACAAAGAACGGAAAACAAGACGACGAGCAATAAGGTACAGCATAAAAATAAAATAAACGGCGCAAGAATTTGAATTTTGCATCCCACGAACAACAACGTCGAGCGACGGACGTCAGACGTCAGCAGCAGCAGAAGCGGCGGCAGCAGCAGCAGCGACAACAGCAACATCAACGGCGACTGAGGCGCCGACTGCGCTGCCGGCGAACCGCTTTGGCCGGAGGAAAGAAAAAGCCGCCGACGAACGGCCGCATTTTCAGTTCAGTTCCAACGCTCCGAGTGAAGTGAACACACAGCAGCAACACCCGAGCGACAGCAGCAACATCGAGCGGCGACAGCAGCAACATCAGGCCACGGCAGCAACACCGATTCGTTTTCGATTTCGAAACCGCTCGAAATCAGTTCTAGAATTGCCTGCGCTTGCGCTAGAAAACTCTTCGTTTTTCGTTATTCGTTTCAAAAATAATCAACAGCTGTCCGTCCCAATACTCTAAAAACTGTTTTTTGTCTCCGGAGAGAGTGTGTTCAGACCCTTTGTTTTCCGATCTTCAAAAAAACTGAAAACTGTTTTCAAATATTTGAAATAAAAAGAGGAAAGCATATATGAAGTAAAAAGACTAAAATAAACAACACACACGTGCGGTTTCTTTGCGGTTCGTTAGCGGTTTCCGTTTTCAGTGTCTGGCTGTGTTGTTTTATGCAAATCGGCGTAAACTCAATCATACAAATACAGATTGCCAATCGGTTTGTGCTGAACAAATTATATAATTTGCCATAAACAACTAACATTTGTTAGTTGTCGCTGCAGTTATCGTCGAGTGCAAGGTGGGTTGCGGTTCCTAATGCAAATATTGTGTGATACAATTACAATTATTTATAGCCAAATGGCGTTTAATTAGATCTAAGATGAAGCATATTTATTAAAAGTATTTTAGCACAGCAAGAATAAATTATATAGTGATTTAATGCTGCGACTCAATTAAATATATCGTTTTATAAATTTCTAGAAACTGCTGGTGTCATAATTGGTTTCGAAAACTATTAGTGTGATAAGCAATAAATAACTAATTTATATTTCAAGGCGCAAAACGTTTAATATAGCAATTAATCGAGGGCTAAGTATAGCAATATTGACATAAATTAACTGGTGATTTAATATCTAAGTGGTTCGTGTTTTGATACTTATTATAATCGTGATTTACAAATTAATGGTGCGGTTAAGAAAGCTAATAATGCCAGTTTAATTATTTTTTACAATTTTGGTAAATTTAAAAATACTCTGAGGTTTAAAAAAAAATATATTTTTCGTGTAGCATGACTGTTTATTGTTTTATCCTATTCATTTTAGTTTTAAGAAAGTGAAATTAATACGCACCACATTGTGTATTGTAAACAAAAGTGCGCTTGGCAATTACTTTATCGATAAATATAAACATTGACGGCTAGACTTTTTTATGAGTAATATTATTTAATGACTAATTGCTTTAATTTGTAAGCAAATCCCCGCTTATGACGCTGACCTCCTGCAAGAAAAGTCGCACGTTTCGAATTTGGTTTGCCTTATACAATACGGTTTGTCGGAAGATGACGTACTAGCATGTGACCATATAGAAGTCGTATATAGTCATTGCCCACACGACTAACTGACAGATGCCGCTTTTCATTGGGTTAATAACATGGCAACATGTTTCACGCACAAGGACAATAATTTGGGATATATATATCCCATATCCTTACACATTGTTGTTGCCAAGACGCCAGCAAATATTTGCACCACAAATTGACCAAACGCTATATAAACCCATAGTTAATTGATTGGACTAAGTCTACCATGTTGCTAGGGGCTGATTTCCAACCTAAGTCCCTCCTGTCTGCCTCACATGCACGTGTCTGGCGATAATTAGCATGCAACAAATCGCATATAGCTGACGAATTTCCATTTCCATTTCCACCACCGTTTCAATAAATTATCGCGGCGCCAGCGGAACTCTGAACAAACGAATGATAGCGACATTGCACTTGGCGGGGAAATTTTTGGGTAACCAGAAGTGAAAACTAATAAAACAGTAGATAAAGTAGGTACCTACTATAAAAAATATATTAATATTAAAAAAGAATAATTTAAATGCACTTTGGTTTCCTATGAATTTTTGTATAAAAATATTTAAAAACTCCCTTATTAAAACTTTTATATTGCTCTTAACTTAAAGTGATCTGTAGGTTTACTTCAATCTGATATCCTTTCCGGGTGGTTTGCCACATCTTATCTAATAGATTTCACATCTATTTAACTTATGATTCACTAGACCCAACCAACATTCCGGACTTATGCAAATTTGATTAGCCTACGATCTTCATTTAATTCCACTTGACGTGAAAGTAGCCAGGCTAGCGGCTCTTTTGGACGCCACTCAAGTGTTCGCGTCTCATTATATTTAGAATTTCTGATTTCTGGGCGGCGGCATTTGAAGACGCAGACGGGGACGATAAGGGGCGGCGATAAGCGGGCCAGGAGCCACTTTTCGGGGGGAGGGGCAATCCGGTCGAGTTGTGAATGAGCCAAGCGGCACTGTGTGATATAATTGCCTTGAGTCATGGGACAGACACGACACTGCCCCCATATATATAGAATTTATGCCCTCCTCTGGTGAAACTACACACCTTTCGTGGGCACGTTCAGGTACGAACACGAGACACCAGCGATAAGATTAGATAGCCAAAAGAAAAAAAAAAGAACCATCGGTGGGTTACTCCGGAAAAAGTTTCATTAACTTTGCAGACTATTAATATCGTTTTCTCCAGATGTCTATCATATCGCTTTATCATATTTCGCTTCCAATTTAAAGACCTTTGCTAACTTCTGGTACATTTCCATTTGCAGAGCGGCACAGAGAGGCGCCATGTCCAACACGGAGAAAGGAGGACTGCACAGAGTGCGAAGTAAGTACATTGAATGATATGATATGATATGATATCACGCGCGAAAAGTCCCCAGACGGTTCTTAAGTTCCCATCAGAAGTAACTGAATTAGTTAGGAATATAATATTTTATTTTTGTTTTTTAAATTACCTTCTTTTCTTCCGAGAAATGATTAGTGACAAAATACAAAAATTTGTAATAGTTCTCAGTTCTATTAAAATATTTTCCTTTTTATATTTATGTGATAGAGTTACAGGTTTAAGGTTTCTCTACATCCACTGTATTTAAATTCGTATTTCCACCTGCTGGTAAAACAGTCGAATGTGCCAGAACAAAGTCCCCAGTTAACCGTACCAGACCCCATAGCCGAGCCCCTTTTTTCTGCGCTTCTAGACGCGCAACGATAACAGGGCCAGAAACCGCATGACGGCACTAAAAAATGGGGCGCGCCACGGTCATTCGGATTGAAAATAAAAAAAAAAGATGCCTATGCCTGACGGCCAATTGAATTGAAACTCGGTTAAAATAAACAAATCGATTTGACTCCTCCTCGATCCAGTTTGATTGGTGTCAACGAGACAAGTTGTATTGAGGTTACAAATCAATTGGGCTCTGTGATTGAATTGAATGCTGATTGATTTTCCGGTTCCTCGGATGGTCCTTATAGTATATAAGAAATTTGTTGTAGAATTTACTTATGTAAAATATATTTACTGATCAGCTTAAGGTTCAAAACAAAAACAAAAAATAATAAATTAAACATTCTTCGATCTTTAAAAATATTTGAATAAACATCCTGAAAGTACAGGTGTTGATTCATAGATAAATATTTTGAAAGAAAAGCTCAATCATGATGAAATATCCTACATCAACAACTCAATCATGGCAAATATAGTTCATATCCTGAAAATGAAATATAAATGCTGATAAATAGTAAATCATTTTTTTGCGATGATAGCGTGACCCATTTGTGTCAATCATAATATGATAAATATTTAATTGTAACACCCTCGACACACTTGTCAACTCCTCGATCACTGGCATCGGGTTGTTCGAGGAGGGGTCTCTATATATACCATCTATCCTTGGTCCGACACTCCTCGAGTGCGATGTCATCGATATGGACATGGATACGGGGATACGGACGCCCACGCCTTGTGACAGCTGGACTGCGTAGTTGGGCGACCTCATGACGTCATTGTTATGACATTTCCAAGGAATACCACGCATTAAACTATGCAAACAAATTAGCACGGTCACGCTAACTAAACACGTTAGTTGGTCGACCACCCAGCAATTCCACCTCCTCCCCCTCGAAATTGTCAAACAAATCGTATTCCGCATGGAAAGTTTAGTTCATGGACTAAATTCTGAGTACATTTCGCAATTAATTGAACGATGCGGCGTTGTTGTTGTGGTTTTTGTGGCGAATTTTTAATAGCCTGTCGGCGACGGTCATCCGACTGTTTACTATTTAATTCGTACTTTTGGAGCTGTTTAGCACTTTAGAGCCAGACAATCGGACAGAGAGACAGGCAGCAGGGAGGTGGATTTTTGGGTGGAGGAGGGGGCCTGTGATCGCATGCTCGAGTGCACATTTCGTCGACCCCGTGAGCAAACATGAATGATAGATAAGCCCCGAGCTCTAACCAAAAATCAAAGCGTCCAATTAGCAGGGAAATATCAAGGGGGCAGCGGGGAAAGGTGAGAAATGGTTACGTCTCACGACCCAAAACGCACTTATGACTACCCCAGTTTATGCCCTCTAATTAGGGGGAGTTGCGTCTAACTTTGATGGTGCTAATTAAAGACGTTATACCTTCAGACAATTATAAGTTCATTTAGCATTTAAATTATTATTAAATGCATATCGATTAAAGAGTATTATTGTTCATTACAGACTCGTGTAATTCACACCCACGCCCCCACATCACTCTTAGCTAGTCATCGAAAATAATACAAGGAAGGTGTGATTCATGAACGATTTTTATAGGTTTTCATTGTTTATTGACATTGCGAATTGTTTAAAAACAAATTCAAGGTGCCTACGTAATTTTGAGGCTTAATCAAAAAAGTAAAAATTAAAATATATGCCCCTTTTTAAAGGTCTAATAATTTATAGTCATTACTTAATGACTTTAAATATGATTAATCCAAGTAAAAATAAATTTAAAATAATATTAAAAATAAAACTACTTCATTCTCCATTTCCAAAGCTAAACATAGGTTCTACCTAATTCAAAGATATTTCCCAATAAACAAGTGATATGTTTTAAATTGTAATTGGATCATAATAAAAAAGTTATAATTTTCTATAATTGGATAGACTACTTCCTCTGTTATTTTACAATGAACATTTTTCCAGCCATATCACAGTAAATATTTATTTAGTTTAATGAGATAATGAAAAAGCTTTTAAAATCATCAAAGGGCATAGGGGAACAAGCCTGGGAAAACTGCCCCAGGCGGCATTGCAACATTTTGGATGAGGATTGGTAGATAGGAACCTAATGGATACGAATTCCAATTTTCAAATATTTTGATCCGCTGGTTTACGAGTAATCTGCCGCAACTAAAGAACATATCACTTGATGTATCTTCCCTTCGGTGGTTCTTGAGAAATCTTTTTTGATGCCAATAATTTTTGAGTTAACCTTCAAGAATGTCAGCCAATCTTTGGATTTTTACCATTCTTATAAGCTAACAAAAATCGCGATTCAAATTTTAAAAAAATTGGTTCAAGACTTTCCAAGTCTGACAACACCGCCAATTTTTTACAGTTTGTGTGTCCTATAACCATCTACTTCATATAAAAAATTCATAATTTTTCGAGTGGTGCAACAGTGTTAAACAAACAAAAAACTGAAGAATTTATTTCTGGAAGGGTAGGAATAGAGTCAATAAAATATATTTGGCTTGTAAATAGTTAGTTCTAAGACCAGAATTATTATCAAAGAGTAAAGTTTTTAATATTACGGGTGAAAAGTGGTCCGAATTATAAAATGTTTGGCATGTATTTGCTTGAAATTGATTTAATAGGGACCCAGTCCCAGTCCCAGTCTATACCCACATCTTCGAATTTCATATCCTCCCTGGACAGAGATTTCATAAGAAATCCTTTGAGCATGGATGACCAACAAATACTTTAGTTATGTGATTCTAAGGAAATCGCGGTCCAAAGAGGACTATTTAATTTACGATCCTTTCGGTACCATCGTTATTCTAAAAAGCAAGATAGTAATTTAAAAGCTTTAATATGCGGAGCATGATAACAAATTGTTAACAAATTCGCGCAATAACATAACCCACATTGTGGGTATAGACTGGGACTGGGACTGGGTCCCTATTAAATCAATTTCAAGCAAATACATGCCAAACATTTTATAATTCGGACCACTTTTCACCCGTAATATTAAAAACTTTACTCTTTGATAATAATTCTGGTCCTAGAACTAACTATTTACAAGCCAAATATATTTTATTGACTCTATTCCTACCCTTCCAGAAATAAATTCTTCAGTTTTTTGTTTGTTTAACACTGTTGCACCACTCGAAAAATTATGAATTTTTTATATGAAGTAGATGGTTATAGGACACACAAACTGTAAAAAATTGGCGGTGTTGTCAGACTTGGAAAGTCTTGAACCAATTTTTTGAAAATTTGAATCGCGATTTTTGGTAGCTTATAAGAATGGTAAAAATCCAAAGATTGGCTGACATTCTTGAAGGTTAACACAAAAATTATTGGCATCAAAAAAGTTTTCTCAAGAACCACCGAAGGGAAGATACATCAAGTGATATGTTCTTTAGTTGCGGCAGATTACTCGTAAACCAGCGGATCAAAATATTTGAAAATTGGAATTCTTATCCATTAGGTTCCTATCTACCAATCCTCATCTAAAATTTTGCAATATCGCCTGGGGCAGTTTTCCCAGGCTTGTTCCCCTATGCCCTTTTTTATTCAGCTTAAAAACCACTCGGAAATAATAGAACCTGCACAATTTGGCCGGCTTATCAAAATTCGCGTTGGTGAAATTCCCCGGAGGAACCGCTTCTCGTTGTGATTCGAGTCCCCATTTGAATACACATTTGAATCCGCCGGGTATTCACCCTTGGCAACAGACTTCGGGTCGTCGTCTGGAATTAATCAAACAGCTAAGCCCCGCCACAAGTAATGAATAATGAGCATGTGCTCCGATCATTTCGCTTACGATAAATTGTTATTAAACTTCTGCCACCTCATGTCGATGTGTTTACTAGACCCTCCAGCTTATTGATGACTGTCATAATTGGCACTCCATTGTAGAAACTCCCCAACGCGTTCAATTGTTCTACCCCATGCGCTTAATATGCATTGCATTAATTAAGCCAAGTCCAGTTTTTGTGTAAAAACAAAGATTGTTTTTAATTGAGGTAAATTAATTTCTTGGAATTTTCGGAGTGGTTTACATAGAGAATCGAAATTTATTCATAACTGTGGGTTTTGCGTCGCACTTCCGCTGGACATGGCACACTTTCCTGATAGAGTCACTTGTTATTTAATTAGAAACCAGAAATTTCAAGTAATTGTCGGAGAATTAAGTGTTCCTTCATTAATCAAATCGACGGGCGCAGACAGTAAAAAAAATTCCGGCTTTGAACCCGGGGACCCCATAATCATTCGGTCGTCTGAGCGATAATCGAAAAAGCTGAGGCAAGCCTCCATTGATGGTTCTGAAAACGACATTTATACGCGTTGGCTTCGGAAATAATATTTTTAAATTAATCTATGGTCTATATATAATCCCGTCCTTTGCCAAGGCAACGCGTGTCTCGGTTTTTATGGCTTCGAGCCCCAAAGTTCAGAAAGTAGTTTTCGACTATTGGCGAAATAGATGTTGATAATATTTTAATGGGTCCAAAATATTATTTTCTAAGGCCACTGAACGCCTGGCGACGAGCCCCCTTTTATATGTGTATTTTTTTAATGCCAGCCATAAATGTATAAATATGCATGTGGGGCCTGAGAGACCCCTGACAA